TATATGGGCAAAATTTCCAAATTATCTATAATATTAGTGACTTTTCGATGGAACCCAGTGCAATCTCAATGTTATCCCTTTGAGAGTCAATTTTTCTATCTTAGATACAATAACATAAGCTAGCGATATACTGAACTTTTGGTGTCTGTGTGTATAAAATGGTCAGAAACTTGACTTGTTCAAAGAGATTACTTTCCTGGGAATTACTGTAGACGGCTAATAAGACTAATAAGCATCTGCTAATTAGACATGAGCTCTGCAGCTTATACTATCTGGAAGATCCGTTAACTAACCGACGTAGGTATGGCAAGACTAGTGTACAGGGGTTTGCAGGATGGCTTCTCAATTTCACAAGTTCTCTACTACTGGGACAAAACAATACACAATTTACGACAAGACATGGCATGACCTCTGGGAGCGGCAGCATGTCGAAGACTTGGCAGAGGAAAGTGGACCATCAGATGCTCTTGCTGGTTCCTGAAGTGAGTATACTCTCGTGTTTGTCTTTGGGTGGATTTGGATGCACTTTTCCTAAAAGATGACGAAATAATTCCTTTAACCTCTCATCTAGCGGTATATGAGACACAATAGAAAACACATTGTGTATCGCGTATATTTGCGCTCCGGCATACCACTAGTTTATTAAGTGAGGGAGAGCCATGCTTCGGCACGAATGGATCGGCTCGACCAGAGTTATACCACGGCCTCACAGAGAATCAGCGTGAAACAACCACAGCGTTGTGTTTCGCCGTGTGAGTGATGTTACCGGAGGCCCAATCCTTCCCCTCCACAATCCCTTAATTACCTGCCACTAGATTATCTCTGCATCACCCAAAGGTAGACTGATAGAGAATGCTCATTGCATTAAGTCCGCCTATGTACAGTGTTTTGTGCATGAAGTCTCAAATAATAGATAAATAAATCTCCAAATTCCTAATCCCTATAAGGTCGGCAACGCACTCGTAACTCCTCCGTTGCGGGTGTCCATGGGGGCGCTGATTGCTTACCATCAGGCAATCCGTCTGCTCGTTTGCCGACCTATTACATAAAAAAATTGTATGCTTGGTTAAGTCTCTAATCACATTTTGCTTCGTGAATCGAGTTTTTCGTGTTCCTTTTCGATGCTTCAAAATTTTTATGGGTGGGTTGAGTAGGTATTGTAGCGGAGTGCTTACAAATAACAAAGGAAAACAATTCAATAAACTCAGTTTCTTTTTATTACAACAACTTCTCATTTTCTCTTTACAACCTTTACAAACAAAAATACTTCTCTAATCACTCACAAAACGTACAAAGCTTTCACACTGATCAACATTATTTACATAAAATACAATATTTACAAAATGGCGATGTCTGTAAAACAATAAATAGTTAATATCGTGCGGGGCACTGTATCACAGAGAGCGGGCGGCGTCAGACGAGCACCGTGAGGCGCTCGGGCGGCGGGTGGCGCGCGGGCGGCGGCTCCGGCGGCGGCAGCGCGCGCTTCGTCAGCTCCTTGTCGCGCGGCGGCGTGTCGTTGCGCGCGTCCGCGTTCTGCGCCTTGTACAGCGAGTGCGCTCGCGGGAGCTCGTCCGCCGGCCGCCGCGCCGCGCTCGCCGCCGTCTCGTCTCGGAGCGGGTTCGCGTAGCGCCGCAGGTTCTCTTCATTTTGTAAGTTGTTCGACTTCTCCTCGTCGCAACGTCGTGAGCGCTCGGCGGCGGCGGCAGCACGACGTCGTCGCAGCCAGATTACGAGGGCTACCGCTACCGCGGCCGACACGAGCAGCGCCAGCGCCGCCAGTGCCACGGTGAGCGCGGGTGCGGGTGCTGAGGGATCGGCGAGCGGCGCGGGCGCGGCGGGCACGCGCAGGCGCAGCGCGGCGCCCAGCAGCGCGTGCTGCGCCAGCCGGCGCCGGGCCACGAGCTCGCTCAGCGCGCGCACGGCCACTCCCAATGCTTCAGCCCGTTCGGCGCCGTCAGTTCCCACTTCGTCGCCGATCCACTGCAGATCATTAGAAACGCTATGAATATATTACTTTTCTAAATCCATAACAAATTTATTACCTACGATTTGTTGATAAACTACAGACACTCTATTGAAACACAATTAATTATTGAAGAAGTAAATCCACCGACCGCCCGGTCGCTTTTCGGGACTAATCGGACTAAGAGCGGTACCCACCAAAGCGAGATCTAGCGCGTCGTCATCGTCAGGAGCTAGGTCACAGAGCAAGGCGAGAGGCGGTGCTGGCGGCGCACCGTGCGATGCGGCCGCCAGCGCGGCAGCCAGCGCGCGGCGCAGCGCGGCGCAAGCCCGCTCGACGTGCGCACCACGCGCCAGGCGCTCGCGGGCCAGCTGCAGCGTGGCGCGCGCGCAGCCGGGCGGGGGCGGGGCGCGCGCGCCGGGCCAGCAGGCGGCGGGCGCGGGCAGCGCGGGCGGCTCCACGCGGCGCCCGGCCACGCGCCGACACTCGCCCAGCGCCGCGCACGGCCCGCGTAGGCATAGCGCCGGCGCACTCGGCACGCACACCTGAAGGTATCCAAATAGTGGGCGACTTGTAAGTCGACGTAAAAGGCCTATCTAACGACAGATACCTATCACTAATAACAACAAAGAAACAAAATAAAACATGTTATGTTCAATAAACAAGTGTTTTAACAATGAATTGTGGCTGGAGCTGTTTTGAAGTTTTGGTTATCAAGAACAGAACATTTTTGAATGGCTTCAAGTCAGAATATCATCCCTACCCCGAATTATAGGAAAACAATAAATGGGCGATTTTCTGTGACATGAAACATGCATTCGACTACGTACAATATAATATAATAATTAATAAAGTTGAGGCATATGTTATAAGGGGAAATTTATAAAATCTAGTTAATTCATACCTATGCGACAGTAAACAAGTAACCAAAATTAATAAAATAAATATGTGCAAAAAAAATGTGAAGAAATTTCCACGTCATTGGAGCGTACAGTTCCTCGTGGAGTTCCTCAAGGTAGTGATTTAGGACCACTTCTTTTTACTCTTTCTACTAGCTTTTGCCCGCGAATCCGTTCGCGTGGAATAGTGACTTCCTGCAGATTTTTGGCATAAAAACTATCCTATATCCTTTCTCGTGTTCCAAACTATGTCTGTACCAAATTCACAGAAATCGGTTCAGTAGGCTTGAAGAAAAGACAGACAGAGTTACTTTCGCATTTATAACATTAGTTTGAATTTTTATAATAACTATCGTGAGACATACTAAATTAACTAAAATTCGCGGGTTACTCACGTGTACATGCGCAGCCTACTGACTGGCGCGACGTCGCCGCGTCCGCGCTCGCTGCTCGTGAGGAAGAACCCCTCTGTGGTTCGAAACTAGTAGAGCTTTTCTCAACATGTACACGTGAGTAACCCGCGAATTTTAGTTAATTAGTTTGAATTTATAATTTCCCTAAAGCCATTAACCATCCCATGACACTGTTTGCGGATGTCAGTACGATAACTATACCATGCCACGATAAAAATAACTATGCAACGGTCATCTATACTAATATTATAAAGAGGTAAAATTTGTAAGTTTGTAGTTTGTATGTAGGGGGTAATCTTTGGAACCGCTGGTCGGATTGCCAAATTTCTTTCACTGATAGATAGCAATGTTCCTGAGTGCTATAGGCTATAAAACATCACGCTACGATCAAATGGAGCCGAGCAGCGGGTGAAACCGCGTGCGAGTAGCTAGTAATAAATACATGTACACACATGTATTAATGTAATGTGTAACACGTACAGTAACGTGGCATGCCATAATAATAATTAGGTAACATATTTATTTTTAATACTAATTACACGTGGGAGCCGCTGCAGTCCAGAATTATCAGCGTCTACAAGGAATCCGAGACGCGGAAACTTAAAAAACTGAAGTCACGGTGACAAAAAGTCGCTTATTCTATAATACACTAGATGATTTTGGATGGAATTTTAAAAGCAGAAATGGACCCCGTCAGCACTGCCATCTAAAAATAAGTAGGAGGCGAGATGTGCGAGCATAGTGGAGCCATGTACCTCGTCGGTGCGGCATGGCTGCGCGGCGGGCCCGTGGCAGTCGGGCAGGCCGCACCACAGGCGCGTGCAGGCCGGCGCCCCCCCCTCGCACCAGCACGCGTTGCACCCCCACCACCACGTGCCGTTGTCTGCGCCGCACGCGCCCGGCTCACCGTCCGCGCCCTCGCCCACGTCACGCACCCCGCCGTCGTCGCGCTCCGCACCCTCGTCGCCGTCCGCCCCCAGCCCCGCGAGCACTAATTACAACGACATTCCCAATTACTAACATTTTCATATACAGTTATGGATAGCCCGGACAGCGAGCATCAATGTACTTAACACGCAGATGTTGGACTCGATTACAGCACACTACGATAATTAGACACGGCCAGTGCAATACTAACTCTCGAGGCAGCGGCGAGCGGAGCGGTGCGGCGGCGGCGGGCACACGCAGCGCGCGCCGCGCTCCGGCCGCAGCGGGTCCGGCACGCACGCCGCCGCCGGCGGGCACGCGGGCGAGCACGCGGGCGCGCGCACGCTGCACGTGTCGCCCGACCAGCCCGGCGCGCACTCGCACGCCCACCAGCCCGCGCCGCCCACGCAGCGCCCACCGTTGCGGCACGGCGCGGACGCGCACGGCTCGGCAGGCAGCTCGCAGCGCGCGCCCGTCCGGCCCTCGCGACACGCGCACGCCCAGCCCGGCGGCGCCGCCGTGGGCACGCACGTGCCGCCGGCCGCGCACGGACAGGCGGGCGCCACGGGCGACGGCGCCGTGTCGCAGGCGGCGCCCGTCCACCCGCTCGGGCACAAGCAGCGCCACCCCCCTCCCTCGCGCACGCATGTTCCCCCATTTGCACAAGTTCCTTCAGGACAGTGCTCGATTCCGTCGACACGTGTTGAGCAGGTTTTGCCTAGAAAGAAACGAAAGGAATCGATTAACACTGAACGTTTGATAAGTAATAATTAGTTTACGAACAAGGAAGACGTGCTAGTTGGCGTACCGGTCCAACCGTCGCGGCAGATGCAGGTGAAGTCGGCGGCGCCGTCCACGCAGCTGGCGTTGTTGCGGCAGGGGCTGGTCGCGCACGCGTTCACCTCTGTAACACAAGAGTGCGGTGTAATGTAATGGCGGGCGCGCGGAGTCCGCGAGGCGGGCTGGGGGTATGCACGCTGGTCGCAGAGCGCGGCGGAGTGTGGGGGCAGGCAGGCGCAGCGCGGGGGCGCGGGGGGGGGGGGGGGGGCGCACGCACGCGTCGCTCTCTGCGCGCGCACAACACGACATATCACGCGCTGCTCTGCGCCATCGACCCCAACTACTCTAAGGCGGAAGGGAACCCTCTACTAGGTAATGCAGACGCGGGCACTGGTCGTGCTCCGTTCCTTTGCATTCGTTTTGTTGCATTTGACTATCAACCAAACCCAATCAGCGTTCAAATGAGGCATTCGTTTTGGAGTGGCTTTTAAGGGTGCGCCGCGCGTCAAATGTGTTCTATGCTAGTATAAAACAAGCCTCCTATCGCATAGCCCTAGCACTGTGAATTCAGAGAAGGAGGAATGGCACTCACGTTCTTTCGCTGCGCGCTGCGTGCAGTTCTTGCCGGTCCAGCCGGGGGCGCAGTGGCAGTAGTAGTCGCTCTGGGCCGTGTAGCAGGCTGCGCCGTTCCCGCACGGAGCGCCGGCGCAGTGGTCGCGGTCGTCCTGTCCCGGCAAGAATGTGTTAACAACGCTGTGGTATAGGGGTGGGCAGGAAGTATTGCAAGAGACTTACCACGCAGTAACGTCCGTAACAGGAGGTCAGCTAAAAAAGCAGAAGACGAGTTAGTCGTGGTTAGTGCAAGGGCGGGCGGTCCACCTGAGCAGGCGACGGATACAGCATCGTTAATATACATTAGTGAGGAGGGACAGAGACAGCAGAGAGGCGGCCGCGGGTACCTCGCAGTTGGTGCCGGAGAAGCCGACGGGGCAGATGCAGCGGTACGCGTTGAGCAGGTCGACGCACTCGCCGCCGTTGCGACAGGGGCGCGGCGCGCAGTCGTCGACGTCGAGCGCGCACGTGCGGCCCGCGTACCCGGCCGCGCACGCGCAGTGGAAGTCGTCGACGAGGTCGATGCAGGTGGCGCCGTTGAGGCACTGGCCCGTGCAGTCGTCCACGTTGGCCTCGCAGTCGCGGCCCGTCCAGCCGGCCAGGCAGGCGCACGAGTACCCGCCCGCCGTGTTGTTGCACGCGGCCGCGTTCACGCACGGGCCCAGCGCGCCCTCGGCCCCCGCAATGGCTCCGTCTGCCCCCCTTTGTTCACATTCATTTATATCTGTAAATGGAATAACAACAAATATGTGTGAGCGTTGCAGCAAAATATAGTATGCAGTGTGTACATAACATCCTCGAAGCGCCAGGCAGAGGTGCACATAGTAATAGAACAGGTACCTTCAGTGCAGGTCGGGCCGGTCCAGCCTGGCGCGCAGTCGCAGACGAAGGCGTCGAGGCGGTCCCGGCAGGTGGCGCCGTTGCGGCAGGGCGCGCTGGCGCAGTCGTCGACGTCCTGGTCGCAGAGCGCGCCGGCCCAGCCGCGTGCGCAGGCGCATGCGAAGCCGCGCGGCGAGGCGGCCAGCGAGCACTCGCCGTGCACGCAGGGCTGCGGCGCGCACGGGTTGTCGACGCGCTCGCAGTCCGTGCCCGAGAAGCCCTCGGCGCAGCGACACAGGTACTGGTCGGGCGCCGTGTTCTCGCACGTGCCGCCGTGCTGGCACGGCTCGTGCGTGCCGCAGTAGTTGAGATCTACAACACGCCATGCCACTCACTCATACAAGTATCAAACTCTTATTGAGTTATAGAAATGCGTTATTTTCAGCAGCGCTTACTTGCAGACCTGACTAAATCACACAATCTTGTAGAAAGTGTTACTCGTATATTTGTGTCCGTAGCGTTACGCACCACGTGTCCACAGACTCCGGACTTTCGACAGTTGCCAATAAACAACCTAAGTCGAAGATGTTTAATCGAATATTAATTACTAAATAATACATTGATTACGCACACGGACGGAAAGTCCTCGTGACTTGAAACTGGTAGAGCTCTGTCCCGTAAATATGTGGTTATCTATACTTTTATACATCCACCTATACATACATATTATATTGGAGTGTCAGTTTGTAATAATCAAATGTTTTCAGCAAATCTTGACTAGCTGGACTGATTGGTACAGGATTCTATCGGTAGGTAGCTGATGTCATAAAGATTAAGGTATTTGGGCTTAATTTGAATATACCTTGCAAGATATGCCGCGTGTGCGGTGACAAGACATTTGTATTTGCGAAGGAAACCACCTCGTACCTTGGTCACACAGGATGCCGCCCCAGTTGGTGTCGCAGGTACAGTCCCAGGAGGAGCCGTTGCAGTAGCCGTGCTTGCAGCCTGGGTACGGCTGGCACTGGGAGCACAGCTCGCCGCGCCAGCCCGGCCGGCAACTGAAAGCATACGGAGCGACCAGTCAGCGACACTGCCGCACTGCTGGCTGGCGGCCAGCGAGCGCATCGCGAGGGTACTCACTCGCAGTCCCCGGGGCGGTCGCAGCGGCCGTGCGTCGGGTGGCAGCCCTCCTTGCACACAGCTGGAAGCAGAGCAACAAGGTGAGTGAGCGAGGGAGGGAGGCGAGGACCCGCGCAGCACGCAGCGGACACACTCACGTTTCTCGCAGTTGTCGCCCTGCCAGCCGGGCAGGCAGCGCTTGGCGCCCTCGGCGGTGCACGAGTAGTGGCCGAACTTGTCGTCGCGCGGCCGGCAGAAGGTGGTGCACGTGGTGTTGTAGTAGTTGGGCTGGCACAGCACGCGCACGCGGTACGCCACGGCGGCCGCCGCGCCCGCGTGCTGCAGGGCGTGCCACTCCGCGCTCGGCTCCACGATGCCCGACCACCACGCCTCCTCCACCAGCCCCGCCTCTGCCACACACACACACATTACTGCACTGTACACACACACACACACACACGCGTATGCGATGCGATTGTCTCACCTGGATCTGAGTACTCGAAGTCGTCGTAAGCTTGCAGTATTAACGTAAAGGATCTCTGCGGATGGATAACATTATGTGAGTTAGTTTACAGAAATACACATTTTATGAGTCTTCTGTGGAAACAGTAGGATGTCTAATAGCGTGCTGTGTATAGAATACACGAGCGGGCAGTACGCACCGTCCACCGGAAAGAGAAGGGCAGCGCCAGCGTGTAGAGCGGCTCGGCGAGCGTGAAGGAGTCGGTGCCGAGCACGGGCGAGGCGGCGCTGCCGAAGGAGCAGGCGCCGGGCGCGGCGGCGGACTGGTACTCCTTGAGGCACAGCGAGAACTTGGTGCGGCACGGCGCCGCGCACGCCTGCTCGGGCGCCGCGCGCGCCGCGCCGCCGCAGCACGCGCCCGACGCCAGCGCCGCGCGGTAGTTCGAGAACTCCAGGATCTGCAGCTCGAACACGCCCGCCCCCGCCGCGCACTGCAACACCAAGGGGACCACGTCACAACCACACAACAGACAGCACTTGGCCTTACAGGGCACAATGACGGCAGCAAGAAGTACGCTGTGAATACTTAAGTCGTAAATGTGAACATTGACTTCCAATAAATATATGGGAAAACATTATTCCTAGCTGGCATGTAGAGTAGGATGTCGTACGAGTGACAGCGGCGGGCGGCGACGGGCGGCGCGGCCGAGCGTGACGCCGCTTTGTTTACACCGCCGCCTCGAGCGACAGGGGCGGGCCGCGCCACTCCCCGCCCCGCGACCTACACGCCCACCGCGCGCCCATCGCACGCTGCACAACTCGGGACGGTTGAACTGCCTGGGGAGCGTACTCCCACCATCGGCACCACGCCCACACCACGCCCACCCAGGCAGCAACGGGACAGTCACTGGTCGCCAACAGCCGGATACCAAACTCAGCAATTACCATTACAGTGCCTCACGGGATTCTCCCAACGATCAATACACAATTTACCTACACTACCTGGTTAAAACTGCTGCTGTACAACGTACCGGAGTACGTTAAGTATGAGCTACCTCGACGAGTAAAGGATCAACGTTTTTGAGTCGACGTAATTTCGGTTTTAGAATTGTCTGCAGTCACTCGGCACTACGACACGCTACGACCGAATGTACACAATGCACGCGCATATTATCTCACTGTACAACGTCCCAAAAATATCCCCAAGGAATAAAACACTCGTGTTTAGAGTAAGACAATATGAGTCAATTTATTCCAAAACAAACGACACAGACTCTTAACACCGCGATTCAGAAAAGTGACGTCACGGCATAACTCCATTTGTTCTTCAAATAGCGAAACTAAACTTTATTTACTTTTAATAAAATTGTGCTTTATGTCAAATTGTAAGGAGGTTAATAAATAATGTACACTCTCGACAAAAAAGGGAAATACATACATTCGGTTCTTACAAGACCCTGTCAAAGTTGCCGAAGCATGGCCCTCCCACACTTAAGTATTTGTTTTTAAAACGATAATATCGGTACCGTTTATAATGTGCATAATTACTTACGAAGTATAAATGAAGAAGTCGTTATGTTAAAGTCAAAATCATTTAATTCAACAAAACCATAACCAGGAGCTTTTGAAACGTCAAAATATAATAGTAGTCTGTCAGTCCGTTCGTCAGTGAAGCTAGGTGCTCGTTCCAAAGTGTACATTCGAATGGAGTCGAACGAGCGAGAAACTCCACCGTTATCCGTTAGGTAAGTACCTACTCTTTTTTTAAGAAATAGGTATGAGTTTTTCGCTTTCGCCAATGCATTATTAAAAATTTTCAATATCGAAATATGTTATGTGTTACGATACTTCCTAATTGTAATCGGTTACTGGGCACTTAAACCAAGGTAAAAGCTTTTAAAAATAATAAAAAGTAAAAAAATAAAACTAGGATGCATCAGAAAAGGAGCGGAAATTTATAAAAATGAAAGGAAAAATAATTTACGGGCGATTGAGGTTGGGAAGGGGATGGGGGTGAGTTCTGTTGGGTAAAAACGAATTTTTCACGATTTCCGCCTAAACTAAAAGTCCTAAGTATCGAAAAAGTTAAATGGCAGAGTTGAAGGTAGTAAAAAGATCTAAAACTTTTGGATTTACCCTTTTTTCAAATAACCTCAAAATTTATGTGAAAAATTCGAAAACCCCGGTTTTTGGCTTTTTTATTTAGGTACACCTGAAGGTATGTATGAAGAAAAATATCCTAACAAATTAAAGTTCTCAGTTGATAAACCATTACATAAAAAGGTTCTAAAAATGAATTAAACAATTACCGTCCAGTAACCTTGATTCCTATTATTTCAAAAATTTACGAAAATAGATTTTTTTCATTTATTACACACTAAAATATAATAAGCACAGAACAAAGCGGTTTTCAACGAGGAAAATCAACTGTGCTAGCTTGATTTCAATTAATGAAAATTATCACTGAATATACATATAGATAAAAAGATACCGATCAGTGCTATATTTTTTTATATGAGCAAACCATTGACTTTGTAAAACATACTGTTAGAAAAGTGTGAGAATTACGGGATAAGAGGGAAAGCCCTAAATTGGTTAAAAGATTACCCATCTAATAAACAACAACGGGTTGCAATTTTAGGTGTTAATAAAGATAGAGAATTCATAAAGTATAGTTCTCAGTACAGAACCAATGCATACGGTGTGCCTCAAGGTAGTATTTTGGGACCATTGCTTTTTCTTCTATATATAAATGACTTGCCAAAAGTAATGAATGGTAAGTGAGTGTTGTTTGCGGACGATATCATTGATAGTAAATAAAAACAATAATTATTTTGAAGATAAAATAAATACTGACGTAAAAGTTATCACAGAATGGCTTAAACTAAATAATCTATGCGTGAATTTTACCAAAACTAAATATGTTAATTTCTCTAACTATAAAATGACAAATGATTGAATGAAAATTATTGGAAATGATAATGAAATCGAAGAGGTTTTTGCACTAAAAAATCTTAGAAAAACTGTTGGACGCAATGCGACTCTTTTAGCTTATCATAAAAGGATTTGTACAGGATAACAGGATATGTTTCGTCTATACTAAGATAAGGCTTGGTCATATGACACAATTCCACTGATAGCAGTATGGCATTTATTGTTAAAAAGAAGTGTCTCCGAGCTGTTTTTGGTGCAAATCCATTAGACTCATGTAGACCAATTTTTAAGAAATAATAATTACTGACGTTACCGCGTTTATACATACTGGAAGTGGGAGTGTAAGTAAAAAGACATCCTCACCTGTGCAACACAGCCGATAGCCATAATATTTATAAGATGGGCAAACTGTCAAGGGATCCAACCAAATTGGCAATGCCAATAGCTGCATTTTTATTTTTTTTTAGAATTTTTATGGCAGCATACTGCCATAAAAACTCTAGTCGAATGCCAATAAAAATATTCAACAAGATACCAAAGGTTATTAGAGAACTGCGAACAAGCTTATTTCCAAAACATCTCAGAGCCTGGCACACCGAAAATAGTTTTTATAATATTAAAGAATTTGTGGATTTTAAGTGAAAGGGTTCCCTGATACAGACGATTTTTTATTTTATTTTAGTAATTCTTCGATTTGTTGACATTAATTGAATTAAACTTTTATATTGTTTGGTTTAATTTTTTTTTATGTAATAGATTGGCAAACGAGCAGACGGATTGCCTGATGGTAAGCAATCAGCGCCGCCCATGGACACCCGCAACGGAGGAGTTACGGGTGCGTTACCGACCTCTTAGGGATTAGGGTTTTGGAGATTAAGGGATTGGGGAGGGGTCGGGAGAGGAGAAGGATTGGGCCTCCGGTAACCTCACTCACACGGCGAAACACAACGCTGTGGTTGTTTCACGCCCGATTTCTGTGAGGCCGTGGTATCACTCCGGTCGAGCCGACCCATTCGTGCCGAAGCATGGCTCTCCCACACTTATAATAATTTTATAATGGAAATTTGTATGATAACATAATTAAATTTGAAATGTAATTTAATTACTTTATTAAAGTTGTAATTATGTTATCAAAAAATTTGCATGTCGAATTCAGTAAGCGGAATATGAAGAACGTGTATATGTTATGAGATCTGTAGAATAACATATTTCAGGCAAAGGAATATATATATGAAATATCTTTTTTATTACGAATTTTCCCGACCTCCGATGGCCCGTAAATATTTTTCCTTTTATTTTATAATACTTCCCTCCTTTTCTAATCGGTTACATATCAAAAAATTTTATTTGTTTTAAAAATTACTGACCGTGATCTAACTCACATTTACAACTTTACCGACATTTAGGTAGTCTGATTGTTAGTTTGCATAATTAGATTAGTTTAATTTTATTTGTGTAAGCTATCATTTAATAAAATTAATTTTTAATACCTCATAAAGTGGCTTTAATCCCACGACAATTAGGCACTTAATGACACCTGTCACCAAACTGTGAAAAATGTCATCCGAGAAAAGCCCAAATAAATGGAACATAATGTTTTTCCCGCCATTACGAATCATTTTTCATTACTCGTCTCGTTTTCTCTTTTAAAGTTTTTTATTTAAGTATTATGTTATTCAGAAGTGTATTGAAACACGTCGTATGATGCACGTGTGTGTTGATGATCACCGTCCTCGTCCAACTTTATTACTTGTACCATAATATACTAATATTTTGCTTCGGACAAGTAGTCGAACTTGTCAATAGTTTTAACTAGACAAATCACAACAAATTATATTCAAAATATTTAAAATGCAACGATTTTTAAAACAATATGGATAATATGAAGGCGTTTAAAAATCATTGTAAGTATTAAATAGTACCTACAGAGACATTGTTTGCAAAATAATTCTAAAACTTTCATTCAGCATTTACTTAGTACCTAATCGAAAATATTGACTAAAGGGATCATACCATTTAAAACAATACGTCGTATTGTACGAATAAATGATCGAGTTTAGGTTTTTTCATAAATAATAGATTTATGAAAAAACCTAAACACGATTATTGATGACTATTTCTAAAAAACCGTGTAGATAACCTGGGAATCAAATCATAATATTACGTCGCAACCACCCAAGTCTGTTGCAAACTTTAACTTAAAAAAAGCAAAGATTTTTTATATAGAGCTATGTTAAACGTAACGTTGAACGAGATTGAATCGCTTTACACAAAGAGGTTACTGCAGACTGTACACAACGCCGAGTAATTAAAATGCAGGCCACGTTTGTTGTTGACAATCCTACTAGTACTATTATCCTGCTACCTACTGCTGGACAGATCGGACAGATCTCATTAAAATTTGGCGCAGAGATAGATTTGTAGTCTGGAATAACATATGGCGTACTTTTAACTTAAGTTACTGCGAGCAAAGCCAGCGGTAAAAGCTATATATTATACAAGGTTACAGTGATTTGGTTTTACTATATTTTTGGAGTTCTACTTACTTCATAGGGAAACACGAGAGCTTTATACGCAAACCTTATTGCCCGCCCCTGCTTCTTACAGAACTTTTTTCGCTCGAAGAGTTGGTTGACAACTCTAAGCTGTATATACGTACCTATATTCTACGAGTGTAATTGAGTTGCAGTATATTTATTGACCTACTGAATGTTCACGTGTCTCGCAATAATAACTTACTGTGATTGTTACAGCGCACTCACATTCACAAGTTTATCGACATACAAGTAGCATGGTTGTATTGTTCCATGATTACAATAGTTTATTTCAAGCAGGAATCCACTAGTACAGATAATTTCCTGTAAACTATTCTGTGGAGCGGGTCCAGCCTGCCTCTGAGCATCTTTATCCTCAACATAATCATCCAGCTTATATTATGCTTGTCTACATGAACTTCCAACACATTTTTTATTTTCTTTCTTCTTGTTTTTGTATTCTGCGTGGAATTTTGTTTA